TCCAGTTGCCCATTCTAAGCGACCACATGACTCCAGCAGTAAGGTAAACACTGTTTGCTGCTTCTAATTCCAGTGAGCGGCGGCCAAGTGCTGCTCTGATCATTTCTCTCGGAGGCCGTCGTAATTTATATCTCACTGCAGAAAACTTCATTTGCTTTCTACTTGCAACAATCAAAGTTGCGCCCTTTTGTTCAAGCCCATAATAGCCAAAGAACACTTCTATTTCACTGCTTGTGAAGCTACGCAGGTGCACACGTAACTTTTCCATTTTAACTGACCTAGGTGAATCCAGGACTGTTTTCAGCTGTTAAACTGCTCTAACATTTGAGATAAATGTTGTTTTATCACAGTTGGTACATCGTCAATGCACCTTTGGGAGTGTTAACTTGCATGTTTAGGTTTAAATTAAGTTGAGAGACTGAGGCCGATAACTGGAAGTTCCAACTTGCGTGAATTTTTCTCGCAGCTACTGCTTTGCGACCTCCAACCTGCAGTGTACCGATGTCCAGATGGTTTGGATGTAGGGCCGCGAGCGTCACAGCCTGATGCGTCAGCGCCAACCTGAAAGTTGGCCCTACTATAGGCGCCCGTAGGTTTGGCATCCAGGGTAGATTCCTCGTGGGAAGGTTGCTCAAGGATTTCGCGTAATTGTGTCGCATCCATTGAGTTACCTCTGTGCGAAAGCTGTTAAAAGAAAGGATTTCAAGCAAAGCGTATTAAAAAGAGGAAATTTTAAATTTACAAAGACGTATTTTTTGAAGGGCTGAAGCGACGGAAATCGCAAATCATGAAAAACGGGGTTTGCCGCGATCCTAAAGGTAGTCAAATACGGTCCTCATTTCATTTTAAAATAAGACTTTTTTGTATTTTTGCAACTGCAGTTCACAAGGCCCAAACTAATTTAACATCTCCAGAGAGGTAGACGAAGATTTGAAGGCGCAAGATGCGTAGTAAATATTTGCCATGGCCTGTGAACGCAAATGAATAAATCTGATCAATCAAATGCAATCATAAGGTGCTATCTGAAAATCCCGTCACCTATCATTCATCGCTCTATCGCTTCACGCCGCGCATACTTTCAAAGTACATGCACTACAACTTTACGTTAGTTTGTTTTATTTGGTTTATTTAACATGCGGGTGCCTATCGTAGGCCAAACTTACAGGTTGTGATTATCTTTTGTGTACGGGTCAAAAACTGCCAAAACATATGTCCGTTGGTCAGCTCTTCTTTTCTCGCGCCGTCATTGCGTTCAGTGGTAGGGGATGCAATCAAATGCAATGCATCCGTTTGTATACATTAGAACATCGAAGTGCCGCGTTATTGCGGGTCTCAAATTCAATGGTGGAGAACACCTAAAAAAGATCAACAAGAAGCTAGTCCGTATTTTTGTTTGTTAGCAGAACGCAGGTCGATAGTGAAGAACGTGCGTTCATAAAGCAACCGAGCAAATCTCCAATTAATTCAGAACTTCATGTTTCCGGCGGCTAACATCCATATACATATACATGCACTTTAGATGCACGTGGCTGATCGAAATTGACCTGGTCGTTTACACAAATGGCAGAAACATGTTAATTTGTGCTTCACCTAGTTTTGTGATTGTCCTCCACTCCACTCGACTGTTTGATCGGCTATTGATGTGTAAATAATGAGGTAAGCGGCTGGCAGCAAACGGAGTACTAAATCAGCTTCTTTTGAACATACCCTCATTTTACGCCTATTTAAGTATGCATTGGATATGAATACACCTGGCTTTATTGTCTGACGCTTTATTGTATGCCAAGGCAACGGAACGTAACCTACCGGAATTAAGCCGCATGCAGTTTGCAATTACCGGCTTTCTCTAATTTTTTTATGTTAAGTAAAAAAGAATATTATCCGACACAAATTTCGAAAAATGTACATAAAATAATCTGATAAGCCTTCCTCTCTTACCGCCTTTTAGTGAAGTGGCACTCAAGGGAAACGAAAAATAAAGGCTTATTATGCGCTGACAAGAATTTGGTTTCGTACGCCGTATGCCGCCAGCCGCGTAATTTAGTATTCACACATCAATAGCCGATCAAACAGTCGAGTGGAGCGAAGGACAATCACAAAACTAGGTGAAGCACAAATTAACATGTTTCTGCCATTTGTGTAAACGACCAGGTCAATTTCGATCAGCCACGTGCATCTAAAGTGCATGTATATGTATATGGATGTTAGCCGCCGGAAACATGAAGTTCTGAATTAATTGGAGATTTGCTCGGTTGCTTTATGAACGCACGTTCTTCACTATCGACCTGCGTTCTGCTAACAAACAAAAATACGGACTAGCTTCTTGTTGATCTTTTTTAGGTGTTCTCCACCATTGAATTTGAGACCCGTAATAACGCGGCACTTCGATGTTCTAATGTATACAAACGAATGTATTGCATTTAAATATGGTCGGTGGAAGTTCGTGCGATGGAAGCATGTATTGCTTAAAATATTTAATTTTCACTGGTTCCGAATGACGAAAGGGTTGCATTCAAACCTGTCTTAAGCATCTGCAAAACAGTGGAAGCAAAGAATATTTCGTCATTTCTGAAAAACACTACCAACAGACTTAAAAATAACACGTTTCAACCACAAAGGATATCAAGGTATTTGTGAAGTGGCTATTGTCCGAGTACTAATTTGGTTCAGAACACAATCAGTGGTGAGTTTAGTTACACCTAGTTGATTAAAAAGGTCAAAAACTCTGCGGCATTCTTTTTCTAATGAGAGTTTCTCCCGAAGGTTTTTCAGTATTTCTAGCAAAGGCGTAAACTGTGACTTCCAGTGCCAACGTTCGCCGTCACTGCCTGCGTTATGTTAACTATGAATTTTACCTTCACTGCTGACGACACTAGAGAGTGTTACGCTTGCCGATCGCACAGATGCTATTTGCGCAATTGGTCGACCATTATTAGAACAGAAGTGAGCTACCACATGCTTGTCACCAAACAAGTGCCGGATATCGCATAGCTGTGCTTGAGGCCGCAGGTCGCCTTGCCTACCTCGATTCATGAATCGCGAGTGGAGTCAGTTGGGTGTCCGTGTCAGGTGTGCACCTGTACTTTTCCACTCGGGTTTTCCCTGCAATTTATGGGCATCTTCATCGGGTAGGCGGTGTCCCAGACCTCGCGTGTCCCAACCATCATGAAATCCGGTCCCTTTTCCGAGAGACCATTTACGTGGGCGTGAACCAAACACGTCCTCTCTTTATAAATTAGGATTGTTCTCTGCCTTACCTTACACTATAAAGCTGTGCAAAAATAGATAAGAAGACATAGCTCCTGGTCGAGTATTGGACACAAGTAGTTGCAAATAATTATTAGTATTTTTAAAGGCTAAATCATATGAGGCGTCCGTAAACTCTTAGATTTGTAGTTGCGCTATATCAAGTTGTGAGCTTCCACTACCCTCACGCCTTGTAGTTTCTTCCGAAAAAGTTTTAGGATAGTTGACAGCTCTTTGTCAACTTGAACACTCCAGTTTCTGGGTCACTTATGCCAGTCCGTACAGTCTGTCTGGTCGGCATACCAGCTCAGTGCAACAGACTAAGGTGCTGATCCCAACACAAATATGTATATCAAGTATGGTCTTCAAAAGCTTGCGGATAAAAGCCAAAAATGTCGGATTTCGTCTTTTTGTGAAACAGTCTGCTGCTTATCACGAAAACTATAAGTGTATACACAAGATATGCTAATATAAAATCGTCTGATAAAATTGTAAGCGGTTAATATAGAAGATAAATTTTGTAATGTTTTGTAAACTGAGAAAAAGGCAGGAGATTGTAACTGATGACTTCAAGAGGATAAAGCTGTCAGATCATCGGAGCAATTTAAAAAAAACTTTGTGGTGCTTTTAGGGTTTGTTTACGTACAGCAAAATGTGGCTAGTGCGTGGTAGGGGTCTCGATGGCTGGAAGGAGTGTCGAGGGCGGGGGACTAGAATAACAGTCGTGTGGTCACTTCAAGTTTGTCAGTACGGTCGGATGGGCGTTGCACAACCTTACACTGATGAGGATACCCAGTTGCCTGTTGCCACGCCTGATTGACTAACAAATACAACATGATCGTCCGGCCACCAAGGGCAGTTACATTCACAATCACAGCAAATACTTATATTCGGAACATTGATGGTCCCCACCGAACGTATTGGTGGACCCCATTGATAGTGTGGGGGTCTAAGTAGTATTTTTATTACGACCCCTATTATCATCAGGCCGAATCTGGGTTGTTGGAAAAAGTAAAAGGCACCAGAATGAGGAAATTATTGTGCAAAGAATCCTGCGTTGTTGTCTCAAGCAGCAGTGGCCCCTGGCGAAGCCAGGACCAGTGTTAAGTGCGTCTAGTCATGCCTGAGAGAGCGTGAGGCGACGGTGACAGATGCCTTTATGAGTGTGGAGCAAGTTCAAGTGGTGTACAATTGGTGTGTTGCGTTACCCGAGGGTGTGTCGTGTATAGTGGGCCATGCTGCCTCGGTCAAGGGGTGGCGTGTTCAAGTGGCCCTTTAGGTAGCCACGAATATCTGAATGCACGCGTGTGTGCGCGAGTGGAAATTGGTCAAGGGTCTACAGGTCAGCGAATCGGAAACAGCTGCCTGCGCAGTTGCATGACGTTGAGGCCGAGGGTATTGAATGAGGAAGCCAAACAGTAATGTTGTCCGTCCACCACACCCTGACCTGTACCCAGTATTCAGATGCGTTCAGTATGGTGGTAACTGCAGCAACTTTTACATACTTTATTGGTGCTGGAGTTACCGCGACTACCGGCACCAGACTTCCTCACCAATGAATCTTCGTGAAAGGTCTTAGAGTTCACTCATTCATATCTCGGATCCTCAATAAGAGCCTCGCATTGGTGTTTTTGGACACAAACTCTTAAATTAAGATGAGAAAAGGACAGCGGAATGTTCATTCAGATAGTACCGCAGCTGTCCGTTTATTAATGCTTTTTGTGAAGTATCCAAATTGGTCCATATTCATTGCGAAGTTTTATGGATCCTGAATGGCAGCGTCTTCATAGCATAGAGGAGGTCGCAGTCATCTCTAAGTTAATAGTGTACAGAATGTAGTATGAAGTCATTCAAAACAGGTGCAACAGCAGGCATCTTTAAAATTGTCCGGGGATTAAAGCACATTTTTAAAACTGAGCGATGCTTTTGGTTCGAATAGAAGGTTTGGTACTTTTCTGCCAAAGGAGCACAACTGAGGATAGTTTTATGCATGCCTTTTAACAGGTGGGTTGAGCCTTATATCTGAAACTGAGTAAGAGGCTAAACCAGATGGGAGTTTGGCGCTTGTGTGTGTGTGCCTTCATACTCGTTAGTTCCTGAATTATTTCCAGCCCATTCTTCCCCT